CACTTGCTTGATTTCAACGTCCCCAAAACGTAGCTCCAAAGTTGGGTTGTCTATTTTGCTAACAATCATCCATTCTGTGAAAACAGCTTCAATTTAAAGAACTGCAATACTTCATAATTTTTGAAAGTGAACTTCATATCCATATTGAATTTAATCATTAAATGGATCTTACCTGAAATGTTATATATATATATATATATATATATATATATATATATATAAATGCACATAGAAGTCAACACTTAGAGGCGAGAGTCTTTTTCATGCTAAATGCAATCGTCGTGGCCTGACGGTTGCATCTAGCATTAAACAGACTGTCACCTCAAAGTGCTGACTTCTATGTTCACTTTTATATTTACACACGCTCTATCTCTGATATTGAGTACTTTATCCCATAAATATAGCACAACTTAAGACTATATTTCGTCATATATATATATATATATATATATATATATATATATATATTGATAGATAGATAGATAGATAGATAGATAGATTACATATAAAGATAAAATTTTATCTTTAAACCCTTTGGTCTTGACAAACCTCGGACGATTAATCGGGGATTAATCTTTTACGAGAGAAAGGGCCAGACAAATGGGGTTTTGAATTTCATTTATATGTAATTTATCTACATATAGGCTCTGTAATAAATACACTGAGCTCTCTTTGTGGATCAGTTTTAATATTTTATATTATTAGGATTCACTTGGATTACTTACCCATGTATTTTTACCTGTACGCACACATAGATAGATAGATAGATAGATAGATAGATAGATAGATAGATAGATAGATAGATAGATGCTAATCATTTCACCCCAGTAAGGCAGTAAAGCTACTAAAACACAAGTTGTTACTGAGTAAGAATAAGAAAAAGATAACTATTGTTAAGGAACGAGTAAAATAAAAGAAGAGGAATCATGAAGAAAACGATTGACATTTACCTTTTCGAAGGTCAATCCTTGTTAGAAAGCAAGAAGCCAGAAGAGAGTCCCACAAGCAAGAAGTGTGTGAAAATCAACTGTTAGCAAAGAACATCCGGTTACATGTAGCCAGTTCAACTGTAAACTGATGAGACCTTGTTTTAAATCTATTACTGCTTTCAAATTCATAACTTCGTGATACCTTAGAGGAAAGTTTATCAGAAAAGGTTACATTGAAACTATTTATAGAAAACGGACAGGGAATTTATATTACGGCGCTGGGAAACAGACAGGTACCGAGATGCAAGGGAAGGACCAATAAGAATGCAAATTCTTCTTTAGATTTTATTAAGAACCTCTAAATATATACCAGGAGCACTAGACCATATGTGGCAGCAATATTCTCTCGGACGAATAATAGACTTATTAATATGTAAGATAGATTTCAGATAGAAAAATTATCTAGCATGAAAAATGTGAACCAACTTTATTTGTCTATTACTCTAAACGTTACTTTTAGTGGGTAAATGTGGTTGAGTCGCTATCCTTGCTTTTTTATTTTATTAAGCAGTGAAATTTAAGCTTTACCTTCGACAGGAATCAAAACAGCACCACTTTTATATCCATCAAGGAAACCACTAGTGTACCATTACCAATTTGGACATGGAATCCAGCATGACATAACGAGTTTTGAATTACCTATTTAAGTAAAACAGAGAAGAGACGGATTCATATTTTCCAGGGACATTCTTGTAATGATCTCGGAGATGTACAATGCCTAAAAGTATGGAAAAATTTGAAGGTAGAACAGCAATGATTCAACTGAAGACCAACAAAGCAGTCTGGCTAGCTAAGACATGGTTAAAACGATGTTAACAGCATTAGATGGCATTGTTTTTGATAAGGTTAACGAAAAAAGACAACGGCGGAATACCGGAAGAACCACCTAACTATATGTCCTTGAGTAATTTTTTTTTTTTTTTTTTTTTTTACTAAAGCTCACATTGCAATTTTTGTTGTTATTATTGCTTTTCTATGGCATTCCGTATTGCTGGTTCCTATATTGTATTCATTTCTATGCTTGGACGGCTTAAGAGATTTATTTATATTATTTAGACTATTATTCCAATCGCATCCCACAGGTGGCCGTGATCTCACTTTTCCCTCCATATTTGCAATCTTACCTTAAGTCCCATTATGCAAATTAGGGATGTCAATATAAGACAAGTGCAGATATTCAACTATTTGACCAATGTAATAACAGACGGGGAGCGAGAAGTCCTTACCAGGATGCATTGTTGGTGAGCACAATCTTAGCAACATGAGATACGTAAATGACGGCGTGTCGATGGTAATCCCGGAAACGAAGTCCTAAAGGCGGAAGTAAGAGAAAGCGAGAGAAAAGAACTAACACTCAATTGTAGGAAAGCTGAATGTTTATCAGCAAGACAATCCAATATGAAAGCTACAAATTGGAGATGACAAAATAAAGTAAATGTAGAAATTTAATCATCTGGGAATTGCTATAACAGACGACAGAACATGTGAAACTGAAATCCACATTAAAATAGTGAAAAAGGCCCGCAAAAAGCTAAACAAATTGTTTACCGTTAGACAAATGTTCATAGAAACAAAGAAATATGTGTGGAACTGCTACGTAATATCTTACAGCAAAGGAGATTTGTGGACAAACTTAATCGCTCACACCATGAAACCAACTAGCATTTTTTAATCAATTCCCTCCAAGGCGATAATGCCACTAAGACTCAAGGTGATTGTTGTAAGGGAATGAGATAATTTTAGAATAGACAAAAAAATTACAGGGTTCGTGGCCGGACATTTTTTTCTCAACGGACATTTGGCCGTTTGACATTTATCCGAACAGACATTTGGTCGAACGGATATTTGGCCGTGGGATATTTGTCCGAACGGACATTTGGCCATGGGAAATTTGTCCGAACGGACATTTGGCCATGGGAAATTTGGCCGAACAGACATTTGGTCGAACGGACATTTCGCCGTGAGACATTTGGCCGAACAGACATTTGGTCGAACGGACATTTGGCCGTGAGACATTTGGCCAAACGGACATTTGGCCGTGAGACATTTGGCCGAACAGACATTTGGTCGAACGAACATTTGGCCGTGGGACATTTGGCCGAACAGACATTTGGTCGAACGGACATTTGGCCGTGAGACATTTGGCCAAACGGAAATTTGGCCATGGGAAATTTGGCCGAACAGACATTTGGCCGTGTGACATTTGGCCGAACAGACATTTGGTCGAACGGATATTTGGCCGTGAGACATTTGGCCAAACGGACATTTGGCCATGGGAAATTTGGCCGAACGGACATTTGGCCGTGGGACATTTGGCCGAACAAACATTTGGTCGAACGGACATTTAGCCGTGAGACATTTGGCCGAACGGACATTTGGCCGTGGGACATTTGGCCGAACAGACATTTGGTCGAACGGACATTTGGCCGTGAGACATTTGGCCAAACGGACATTTGGCCATGGGAAATTTGGCCGAAAGGACATTTGGCCGTGTGACATTTGGCCGAACAGACATTTGGTCGAACGGACATTTGGCCAAACGGACATTTGGCCGTGGGAAATTTGGCCGAACTGACATTTGGCCGTGTGACATTTGGCCGTGTGACATTTGGCCGAACAGACATTTGGTCGAACGGATATTTGGCCGTGGGAATTTGTCCGAACGCACATTTGGCCGAGGGACATTTGGCCAAACGGAAATTTGGCCGAACGGACATTTGGCCAAGACACCTTTGGCTGAACGGACATTTCACCCCGAAAAGTACAAGTAAAAATAGTAGCAAGTAATACTTTATGTATAAGGTAGAATAGGACTAATAATTATACATTAGTGTACTATGAATATATTAGTGTGAGCAATTGTTCACAGATAATCCCCTATTTCTCAGCGAGTGACGTAAGGTTGTGTTTAATTTTTGATTAAAAAATTTATTCCAGAAAAAATCCAAAAATTTAATAAAATAATCTACCATGTATGTTCTTGTTCTCAAGTATTTAAAAATTGTGCGCAATTACTCTCAGAAAATCTATTTTTTGATACTCGTCACATTTCTCAATGATAGACATGAACCTTGTGTTTAATATCTGATACTTTTTTGATGATCTCATTGCAAACCCTGAATTCACCATCTCGATTGTTAATTCCCAGTGTGGTGCCAATTTTCAAAATAAGTTGGATTACACTCAATTACCTCCGAAATTCAAGGGATTAAATTAAAAGCCTGCCAAAAAAAAACGAAAAAATTATAAATATAAATGTATGTAGCATATATTGAAGAAATTAAATAGCGAATTTGGGTCGAAGGACTTTCAATCTCACCGTTTCTTAATGTTTATCAACGTTAATATCATTAATTTTTTTTCTCAAAAAAATTACGATGATGAGTGACATGTAAGTACGCCACTATATTTTCGGCTAAATGTCCGTCAGCCAAATGCCTGTCGGCCAAATGTCTGGATACGACAGGGTTCAGGAAAGCAGAGAATGACGATGGGTATCCTCAATGATGTTTCGCTATTAAATTGTTTTTGTTATATTTTAGATTTCTTTATTTTCCTCGAAATAAAATAGCTGGTCGAATATTTGTCAGGATTATGTCATAACAATATTTTAAGTATCCCAGGGGAATAATAATAATAATTCTAAAAACATTATTTTGTTTGTTTTTTTTTTATTTTCAAATACACGCCTTAGTTTATAAATCTTCTGTTGAACTTCCAACTAAAATTTCAATTTATTTAATTTCTCCACGGACTTATAGAAATGTAAATATTTATTGTCCCTAAACTATTTTATTGATTTCTCCTGAAATTAAATAAAAGGGATTAAATGGATTTCGAAAATTATTTCCATAAAACTTTCTTATAAAATTCACGTTCGATATTTTTTTAAATAAAGTTTTTTTTTTTTTTTTTTTTTTTTTTGCCAACAGTCAACAGATGTTTAAAAATATGTTTGTTTTTCTCAAAAAGGTTTGCCAAGCAAATTGTTAATTCATACTTTTTTATACTGGCCACATCGCATTGAAACACCGGTTCTTGTACGATCACCGAAGTTAAGCAACGTCGTGCTGCGTCAGTACCTAAAATGGGTGACAGTTTGGGAATGTCAAATGCTGTAACCTTCTGTGTGGTGTAATGGATAATTGCTCGGAATTAGAGCGCTGAGTTCCAATTTCAGTCGAGTCCGTTATATTCACTTACGCGTAAATACCCTTGGAAAAAGTATGAATCTGTCTCATCTCCCCTAGCTATGGGTTAATTAGTGAGACTTGCATCACTAAATCATTATTATCTTTAAAAAATTCTTACAATCTAAAAATATTTTATGGCTTTAAATAACTTGTAAAGAGCTGATAAGTAGTAAAAAATGAATCAATCAATAAACCAAATACTGATTAGTTACACTAATTGATTAGATATGTCTTTACATTTATTTAAATTTTCTGTAATATAAATGTATAGGAACTAACGTGGTCACAAAGTGAGGATTAGTTTTTATATTTAATTTAATATAGAATTAATCCCCCACTTTATATCCACATTGTAATTTCTTGTGTTTTACAAATTCTTATTAAGTATGAATCCGCCTCTTTCCCCCTAGCTATGGGTTAATTAGTAAAACTTACATCTCTATATTATTATTATCTTTAAAAAATTCTTACAATCGAAAAATATTTTCTGACTTTAAATAACCTGCATAGAGTTGATAAGCCGTAAAAAACGAACTGATAAATTTATGTTCCGTTACATTAGACACAAATTTTCGACATTTTTTTACATTATATACACAAAATTATGACAAATAAAATTAACCTTTATAAACATTTTGGTTACTATTTTCCGTCAAATACTGGTTTTCGCATTAAATTTTCTTCTTACATATTGGAATGATCATGGTTCTCCACAACTTTCAGTCTTTTGTTACTCTAAATAGCCTTTGACTATTTGCCATTCGCCTTTGTTGTTATTTTGCTATTTAGTTACACAAGCTCATTTGCTAGTCTATTCATTGCTTTTCTTTTATTTCTCTTGTCTTCTGGTGTGTGTTAAATTCTCCAAGCCTCTTTTTCTCATTGAATAGCAAACAGAAGACAACGGGAATTTATAAAAACTCCGTTATATTTACGTTGATAATAAAGAACTATATTTTAGATTGTGCAATATTTATCAATCTTATTTCCACTCTCAAAATTCTAGAGGAAGCTTGAAAAACATCAAACATTGTGATTTTATTTTTAGTGTTCTTTCTTTTGATGTTTTTTCTCTTATATTTGCTTCTGCTGAGTTGAATTGATTCGTTCTACGCTTCCTGCAAAGTCAAAAATTCTTTCATCTTTTATATTTTGACTTAAACGTTGGAACCGTTTACTATTTTTAGACCTTTTCCCCTAACCAATTTTTTTTTTGTTGGCAATTGTCTTCTTTATTATTTTCCCGCCTACGTTTATCTTTCTTGCTTACGTGTTCGCTATTATTGTTTCATTGTTATTCGCAGATAAATTTGGATTTTATTTACTGAAAATCTCTTTTTTTTTTTTTTTTTTTTTTCTTGTCTTTCCCATTTTAAAGACTTCATTCCTTGGTCTTGTTTCTCCTTTTTCTTTTATCGTCTGCTTTATTGTTCCGGAAGGAAGATTGTTTTCCGCTTTTGTTTTCAATGGCGGATTAAGGTGGGCGGAGCAACGCAAATGAAAGTTGCGATAAAATAATCTGTCTTCATTTTTTTTTTTAATTCCTTTTTTCCAAGTGTGTGTGGCGACGACCGTGGTTCGGCAGAGTTACTAAACTCATTTGAAAGCAAATTTATTTGTATTAATTCCCTTCCGCAATTACATATTTTCGTTTCCCTGTCCATTCATAAAACATGTACAACCTTTCTCCAGTTACCACCAACATCTTTGTCCACGCTTCCATTTATCTTTAATAAAGCCATCTTCCATTATCTCCCTTTTCTTCCACTTGAAATTTCTTTCATGAATTTTCACAGAAGGCTCGAGAGCTACTCATATCAGCACGTTAATTGAATGCGATTGTGATATAAATATAATAGTAAAAATGATTGATTAATTGATTCGTTTTCTACGGCTTATAAACCCTTTTCAGATTATTTAAAATCAGAAAAATATTTTTAGATTGTAAGAAATTTTAAATAATATAGAAGTCCTAGTAATTAACCCATAGCTGGGGAGAAGAGTTAGATTTATACTTTTACCAAATGTATTCGTGCGTAAGTGAATATAACGAACCAGGGTCACGGTAAGAGCGTGGATGGCAAATGCTGATTTTCAAGGTACGCAGATGATCACAGGAGAAAGCATGGTTAGCGACTCGGATTGATGAATCGGAGAGTCGAGTTCGAATTCCAGTCAAATCCATTCACTTACATGGTAATACCCTTGGGAAAGTTATGAATCTTCTCCCTCCAGCTATGGGTAAATAGCAGGATAGACCGGGTTGCCACCCAAGGCAACTGGTCTACGGCAGAAAGAAATGGCAACCTACTGTGGGAGTCATGTATCGAAAGATATATGATCACCTAAGCTTGTATCAGGCATGGCATGTAACTGACTTAAAAGATGATCTTCAGTGGAAAGCATGTCGCAACATCATATTATCGTTTAGTTTTCTGCTCCATTCAGCTATGATCAGTAAATATCGATAGAAATTGGCCTGCCGAATTTCAAGACAATCATATAAAACACTCCAGTTGAATGGCAGGCGCAGCACAATCTACTTATTGTCTATTTTCCCAATTTGTCTTTGGATCAGTTTAGTAAATATATAAGAAATGACATGCTGAATTTAGATTCAAATAGAAAAGCCGTTTTCTGATTGAAGACTGGCACATCACAATCTACTAATTCTTTGTTTTCCTCAGTTTCACATTAGACCAGTTTAATAAATATTCGTAAGAATTGACTTGGTAAAGTTTGAGGTAAATAAACAAAATCACTCCAGAGTGAAGACTGGCGCAGTATAATCTTCTTATTCTTTATTTGACTTTGCTTAGTTGTGTTTGTTTTCCGATTTTTCTATCTAAAAGTAAATAATAACTAGGATTTCAAGCAGTTAACCTTTTTCTGAATGGTGATTTTCCAAGCATAGCTTAGATGTGGCACAATGCCGAATGCATTGGGCACCCAGTGAGGACCGAACTCACTACTCAGTTGCAATTGTTCTAAAAAGGAAAACTTGCTAACCATTACACCACATTCAGGTGTCCAAATGATTTTCTAAGCGCAGCTTAGATATGGCACAAGGCCGAAAGCATGGGGCACCCAGTGAGGACCGAACTCACTACTCAGTTGCAATTGTTCTAAAAAGAAAAACTTGCTAACCATTACACCACCTTCAGCTTAGATGTGGCACAAGGCCGAAAGCATGGGGCACCCAGTGAGGATCGAACTCACTACGCAGTTGTAATGACTCTTGCGAAACATGCTTGCTAACCATTACACCAAGTCGAAGTGTCTAAACCTTTTTCTGGATGTTTGGTACAAGGTGTTAATCCATGGCGCTTAATACCCTATATATTCATTTATTTCCCAAATCTGCAATATCACCGCAGGTTATCTATCGATGTGTAACTCCTAAGGTTTGGTTTAGATTGGTTTGGTTTATTTTGTCTTACAGCATATCAACCTCAATGGGTTATTTAATGCCGACAACATTTTTAGGATAGATTCTTATGAATAGAATATGTATTCTTTGGTTTAGATTGGTTTGGTTTATTTTGTTTTACGTCATATCAACCTCAATGGGTTAATTAATGCTGACAAATTTCTTTATTGCTGGTAATATTTTGTTTTGTCAAAAATCTGTTTCTGATAATATTTTTCCTTCAAAATTGTATTGCTATTAATATTTTTTTCAAAAAAGTATTGATGGTAATAGTTAACTATTTGCGCATAGCTGGGACCCCCAACAGGTGCTACCACCCCGGGTCAGGGTGGACCTGGGAACACCAGCAATTAAGAGGTGGTTCCATGTTCCTCAAAACCTGATCAGAGGCCTTGCTGCTGGATGTAGTTTATCGTCTTACCAAGGACAGCTTAGTTTTGGATCGTCATTCGTAATTTACTATAGTAACAACAATGATTCGCTTCAGTCGTGTCTTTCGATTCGTATACCGCTCGATTTATCATAAAATTTAACGCCCTCACTGAGAGTGAATTTGTAACGGTATTAGAAGCAAGCAAGTGTGGCGTTAATGGAGTCAATCATTCCGATAATAAAGCTTAACGTAAGAAATCAAGCTTACGTTTCTATCTTTTATCTTTTTTTTTTCTTTACGAACTAAATTTATACATTTTCTGCTCTCGCTTTTGTTATAAATTTCCACTGTGCATACATGGTGCGTCTTATACAAGAGGTGCGTCATACACCGTAGAATACAGCAAGGTGATAAAATAGTCGGTTCCATGTATGTATAGCTGGCCACGTATTCAAGAATACCCATCTACTAGGGTGGCTGGCCACTCCCTATTGCAGACGCTTGCTCAGGTGCATTTATGTTTATTCAAGATCCACAGAGCCCATCTATGGTTTATACTAAAACTAAGCTGAGCAGACGTTAGCTACTGTTTCTGGGAAAGAGTGTGTTACCTAGCGTGATTAACAACTTGGACAAGGCCAGCACGCTCAATCCCTTAGTTACGATGTCGTGTGTCTTCGGCTAACACAGCTAACGACAGCCTCCATAAGTGCATAAATAAGATAAACAGATTGGCAATAAATAACGGTTTTAGATTTTCAAAAAATAATTGTCGACAAGAAATTAACATTCATCCTGTACCCAAAAATCTGAGGATAAAATGCAGTACAACATTACAACTCATGAGAGTAGTGACCCACACACTGGCAAACGCTACTCAAATTATACAGAACATTAATTTGGACTATGGAGCAATCAGCAAGGAATCCCAAAATTCTTAACCCAACCTACTATGAAGTTGGTTGAAGCATTAAAAACATTTGGGAATTGGCGCTTGAATCATTTAAAACATCTCATGTCGAAAATTTGTATGTAGAGTCAAATGAATCTACACCAAAAGACGGGAAAAACTAGCTCTAGAATTCAATAAAAATAAATCTAAAAACGACCCCCTGTAATCCTGTG